GAGAAATGATTCAAGAAATTTGATCAAACAATCAAAATTTTCGCTATGAAAAAATAAATTTAAATGAATGTAAAAATATAAGTTCAACGAATAATGAAAAACTTTGATAAGTAGATTTTCAAAAGTTAATTTCATCAAAAGTTTTTCAAAACTAAATGATTTGATAATAATAAATAAGATGAGATATCAATATAATTTTAGCTCAAAAGAATCTCAATTGAATACTCTAAAGTTCTTGTAATAAATGGCAAGAGAGTTGGCATTTATAGAAATGAAAAACGTCAAATTTTCTGTCAAACTGGATGATCGGTCCAATCGATCGCCAATTTTCGGATGACCAATATAATCGTTTGTACAGGAAAAATCAGAAGTTAGAACTGCCAAATTTTGGACTGTTGGAGTAGTTCGGTCGACCGTCTGGTCAACTGGTTGATCGTTGACTTTTTGTTTTCAAAGATATGATCTAAGTTCAAGTACATTTTGAAANTCAAAGATATGATCTAAGTTCAAGTACATTTTGAAAGATCAATCTTACTTACTTTTGATCAAAAATATTTTATACAAGTGATATTAAAATAACTTTTGTGTACAAAGTGATTTTTGAGCTATTGTCATTCATTACTAAAGATCAAAGGGCTCTTAAACTCTTGATCTTATTCTTTTCATGAGCTCGATTTGATAGTTTTGATTTTGATTTTTTAAACTCGTCTCAAATAATTTGACTTAAATACTTAGCTTTCACTTTGACATTTCGAGCCCAATTTATGATGTGTTGATTTTGGCGATACTTGATTTATTTTAACGTTTAAATATCATCACTTAAAATCAATTATTAAAAATAATATTAATCTTATTTGTTATTATCAAAACATTAAGAATGAAATCAACCGGTGTTCTTTAACAGTTAACCCGTACCCAACGAATAAATTGTAGCTTGCGCCTTGCTGAAGTAAATGACTTCCTAAAACTCCTTTTCGCCTGAGAAAGGCCCTGACGGCCAGAAACTACAATGGCATATGTCTTACGACCTTAATTAAGCACAGACTAGGCCTCATCTGGGAAAACTAATGGTAAAAATGGATTTGAATGGATCGGAAGAAGGTGCTGACCCAAACTCGTCGGGGGTGTGACTGGAACGCGTCTACCAGAAATCGGTTGTTGGCTTCCTGTTGTCGGAATGCGTGTCTGATGGTGAATGACGTTGAGTTTTTGCAGGCATGAGGAAAATTTCACGTGGATTCATAATATTAGATGCGTGAACCAAGGGGATTCTTGTACTTGGCAAAATTCGCAAATTTCCAAACTCCGACAGTTTATGATTTGCCTTCCACTAGTGCATCTGGTGTCTGATCGATTTGAATTTTCTGTTAAAGGTTCGAAATTCCATGGGCAATCCATCCATCCGTCACATGTAGTGAGGCGGTGAACATGTTGGGATTAATTTGAAAATCAGATTTCAATTTCATGTTTTTCAATGTTGTAATTCTGTCCAAATTTGACATCGTCGACATCACCCTAGGAGTTTTTAGGCCGTCTAAGTTCATTGGTGGTAGTCTTTGAAAGTAGGAGTTTTGATTGCATTGGGATTTGTGCCATGATTTTTCAAACTTAGATCTACCGAGCTTAGGGCTGAATCTGATGTTGATGTTTCAGGAAGTGGACAAGAGGTTGTTGGTGATGATTTTCCACCACTCCGGTCGTTTTAATGGTGGATTTTTTGTATTTTTCTCCCATTTTGGAGATAATGGAGAGTTTTTTTTTTATCGATGTCTGTTTACATGAAAGTCATTGATACTAATATCATATTTAGATGTTGCTAGTTCCGTTATTTTGATGTTCTATCTCAATTTGTCATGTTTTAGTTACGAAGTTATTGATGTAAGTGGTGTTATGCATTTTGGAGCTACATGTTTTTACTTGTGTTTTATATATGACTTAGGTAGGTACTTTATTAGGTTCTTTATTATCAGTTTTCTCGTGCTTTTACACTTGGTATTATTTGAGTTGATATATTTCAAGAAATAGGTTAGACTAGCGATTGCAATGCAATTTTGGGTTTGAGTCTTTAGGTTGATAGAAATTGGATTATGTTTATTGTTTAATTTTGAAATAAATGATTTTGTCTCGAGAGCCAAAGGGAGAGTTTGTCAGGTCTAAAGTGTATTGGCAAGTTCCGTGTTCAAAATGTCAATTAATCGAGTTGTAATTAAGGTCAAGTTGTATGGTGTTAGTAATGTCTTTGGAAGGAGTCAAAGTCATCTAAAAAAGATCAAGTCAAGGCAAAAAAGTGCCCGTTCGAACGATTTTAGCAATAAAGTGACCGTTCGATGTCTGCTAGGGAAGCACTACGGTACATCCGACCAAACCATAGACTCGTAATTTGATGACTTTTGACCATCATAAACAACCTCAAACACTTTATATTATAAATACCCAAACCGTATTTCGTCTCTATTGTTGGTTGAACCTTTATTCATTCCAAAGAACATCATGTTGAAGATCAAGCATCAATTCCACAATTCTCTTGACTCAACCACAAAATCAAAACACAAAAAATACCAAAAAATCAAAACATCAATAAAATCATTTGCCAAATAGCCTTCAGAGTTCTCAAGATCGAGAGAGGTGAGTGGAGTCTCAGTTTTTGAAGAACAAATTCGTTCTTGGTGATCTACAAGAGGAAAAGAAGTTTAGAGGTTCTAGAAAGTGTTGGAGTGCACAATCGAAGAGTTCTTCAGTGATTACAGGTTGGAGATTAGCATCTATTAAGCTTTAGTTGTCTCTAGACCAAATCTGTAAAACATTTTAGGCCTTATCACCTCACTCTAGACGAACAGGTCTCTTCTGCCTTATTCAGGATTGACCTAATTTGGAAATCGAATAGCAGTACAATCATTGACTTCAATAGAAAAGCTATGAAGGCAGAGGCAACATGGAACCTAGGTGAATTAGATGAATGCGATTATTCTTTCTATGTTACTATATGAAATCATAATTTCTTTTCATGTATCACATCTTGAAAAATCATTTCAATATAATTATTATTCTAGGAATTATGTTTCTTCTGTACGTCTCATTTGATAAACTATGAAGTACTGTGTTTTTTGCACAATTGATGAAATATTGAAAGTTGATAATGTGTAATGTTGACTTAGGTTTTTGCATGAATGACGTGGCCAATAGATCTCTGCTCCACTCACGTCCACACTATGACTCTTGCACACTTGAAGAAACTATTAGGAGTATGTGGACTTCTCTAAAGGTGGAGGCAATCGTGAGCACTTTGACGATCAAGTCAGTGAACTTGTATGAGTGTATATGGGTTTGAGATGGACGAAAGATGCGAGCTACGTTAGTGTATGAGCACCTAGGGTAAATAGAGAGAATAATGAGAGAAATATTACTATAGAGTGCGTAAAATTGTGTGTTTTTAAAATGACACTAAGTTTGAGTTTTTATAGTAAAAGGGGAGGAATGGTTACCGTCGGATGAAAATATACGTGGTCTCATCCTAGCTGCCTAAGCGTCTCTTCCTATGAGTCACTCCATCAGTCCTAGGTTTAGGAACATTTAAGGTTTCTAAAGCCCCTTATACCTTTGAAAAGTAGATTGACAAGTTGATTGTGAGACGATGCAATGATGTCGCATCAATCAATCACATAAAGATCTTGTACGGAATATCTCTTGAAATATGTGAAACAAAAGATGTCTTCTCACATTAAAAGGCTTATCGCCTTGGATTTACTCTATAGCACCTCGCCTAGGCCATGGAGGGTCGGCATCTATATTGCACCTCGGCTGAGGTTATGCATCACTTAGACCACCTTAATTTATGACCTCAACTAAATTAATTAGGATAGTACCATGGTGTACAGGTCTGATTAGGCTTCCTGTTGGTTTCCATGTGACCGATTGGTGTCTCGTCGAATGAGTCCAGGATTTAGACGAAGTCGCAGTTCAGTTTGTTCAGTAAGAAAATGGTTCGTATCTGATTCGCTTTTCTTCAGCTTTGGGTCTTAACAAATGAGTTAGATGAATGAGAAAATGTCATTTTAATTTGATGAATCCATGAAATTTTGCATTCAGTTGAAAAATTAAACCAAAAAATTAGTAGAGACGGGTGGAAATCAATCCAGTTTTCGGTTCTGGGAAGGAAAAAATTCTGATATCTTCAGCTTTTTGTTACTCTATCACTCTTATAAAGTTCCATTCTTTTAATCATGGGTTAAAAGGACATAGAATCCTTTATAGATAACCCCATTGTTTTTCATAGGACTTTCACATTAAAACTCGTCTTATTCAAAGGGTTCTTTTGATTGGAGCCTTTTTGGTCATTTCAACAGGTAGCAAGGCTTGTTTTGGGTTTGATGTTAATATCTAATCCATCCATAAAGCCATTTTTTTTGTTCCATCCCAAATCTTTGATTTAAAAAGTTTTTCCTTTCCGTTCCTTTTGCTTTTTGTTTTTTTCATTCTAACCAAAACTATGAATATATCCATTTTCCCTTTGAAAAGTTATTCGCTTACACTATACATACTTTCGAAATGTAACTGTCCAAAGGTCATTGTGCTGCATATTTATGCAAAGGTTTGGGATGTAGGTACAAAAAGTAAAAGTTTGGGACCCATTTGTAATTTTTGCAAAAGTTGGTGACCCTTTCTACAATTTTTCTTGTAGAGTGAGTTGGGTAATTTTGGTTTGTCATAATAATCAGTTGGGCAGGATATTAACACAACACTGGAGATAGAATCTTGAATCACAGGTGAATGGGAAGATTGGTCTCTCAATTTGCAAAAAGGTTAAAAACGTACAAGATTGGAATTCCAACACGCATGCTGTATCATCACCAACAAATTATAAAATAATTTATGTGGGAATTACATGAAAATCATGTGTTGACAACATAACTATTATTCTCTTCACATGTTTCTCTCCAATGGAAAAGTCAAAGAAGTGAAAGGTGATTCAATATCCACCCACTACAGAAGAAGCACATGAAAATTATTGATAAATTCTCATGTTAAACTGAGACGGAGACATTGAAAAGAACTTCAAATAATTAAAAGAAATTAAGGAAGGTCAACGAAGAACACAAACCTAAATTAGGCTTAGCAGCTTCAAATGATCAGGAAAAGAAAAAACCCTGTTTTCGAGCAAGCAAAAGTATGTTCCGTACCCATCCAAACAAGCAGGTGTCATGGCTTAGCAGCTCCAAATTGCTCCGGACAGCATTAATTTAGTACATATTAGGCATAAAATGTTTATCAATTATATATTCACAACACAGAAATCATCAATAAATAACTTCTGGTGAAAGATGCAAAGATGATTTTCAGACTAGCAAATTATCTAAGAACGGCATTAGGAGTCCATACATAGATAGACTAAGCATTTGGGAACTCCTTTCTATCCTTGTCCCTTGCTGGCTAGAGCCATGGAGCTAAAGGCGGGGCCTGACAGACTACTCCAAGAGCACTCATCCATAAACTGGTTACAACCAAATAATAAACATGAAAACTTCCCCCCTTGAGATCACAAATAAATAGTTTTTCTACTTTTTATTTCAATAGGGCTAGGGATCGGGGTCATTCATGAGTCTTTTCTTTACTGTCTGGTGTCGAAATAGTATCTAGTAGCTCGTTGTTTGAAAGTAGTGCCTGATGTGCCTTTAGTAGCCAGAGGAAAAAAAGAAAAAGAAAGAAAAGAAAAAGGCAATTCTCATAGTAACGGCAAGCGAAATGGGAGTAGCCTAAATTGTGAATATGGGGTTGGGAATCCCCTATGTGCTGAGAATAAGAGGAGCCAACAAATTGACCATGGAATAGAAAATGGACAAGATTTTAGTTTTTGTTTTTTCTTACCATAAAACATATCCGCTGAGAACATATTTGTTAGTTATATCATCCACAATTACTCAAATCTCGAGAGCTTCTAACAAATCATAACTTCATTGGGATAGGTGAAAATCCCCCTACGAGAACCATATAGGAAACTTCATGTCATACAACTCAAGAAAAAAAAAGCCTTATACTAGTTACAAAGGATACATATTAGAAAGTAGAACTTCTTAAATCTCCTATTCAATCTTCTTAAAGTGTAAGGCCAAAGAAAAAAAATCCAAAAGCTCTTCCCAGTGGATCTAACCAAACAGGCAAAAGCACTTCATTAGGTTCACAGCTGGTTGTTATAACTGATATATTCATGTACTATCCACAGACAAGTGCACTGTGCAAATGAAGAACAAATGTACCAAAATATAATTCAGAATAAGAGATGAACCTCGGCTAGTTGTTCTTTCATTCATTTTATTCATTGATTCGTTGGTTGTTTTTCATGACCTGCCAACTGATATGTGTGTCACTAGTATTTGCACGTCTTTGATACTCCTTCCATCATCAAACCATGCCATATTTCAGCAAACCTGAACATAAAACGGCTTAACATTTCTCCCAAATCTTCATCTCAAATTTAAATTTGCATTACTGGAGTTAAGGCCTCAGTAACTTCCTTTACCTAGGCGAATTTTATCCCGAAAAATTGTTACATTCTAGGGAAGTAAATTGAATAGTACAGAGTCCAGACAGGGCCCGGACATCTTGTGTAACAGTGACTTCATCTCTATGAATGTAAAGTTGAATCAGTCAGTGGTTTTTATTTTTTCCTTTTTTGTGACAAAAACATTACATAATACTAAACTACTTGCTTCTAGAAAAGAACGTTAGCATCTCACACGTTAGCATCTCACAAATTCAGACCAAAATCAATATTTGGAACTCTATTTAGTTAGAAAGTTGACTGACCAGCCTAGAATCAATAGCATTCACTAGTCACCAACAATCACACTAAACTCCCCCGCCTCCAAAATGTCAATCATATTTCCTGAATTTTATTTCACAAAATAAAATTGAGAACACTTTGAAAGAAAGACTTAGGCAGCATAGAATATAAATAATTTAACAAGCAGTTCAGCTTTCTCGGACAGAGAAATGCATTGCTGGAACTCATTTGGAACGACAAGCAGCTCTAGATTCAGAGGTTCTTGCTATAGCCAAAGCTCTGGGGAAGTGGGAATAGGAGAGCACTCATCTTGGGGTGGGCATACTACTTAGATGTTTTCAGCAGTTATCCACTCCACACTTTGCTACCCAGCGTTGCAGTGCCTTTCCAAAATTTTGAGAATGAAATCAGAAGTGAAACTTGGATGTAGTAGTGTTTCCAATCATATCGTAGATGAAATAAACCCAAATGAAAGCTTAAATAGAATAGTAATAAGTTATTTATTAGATGAAATCTACAATTGCAAACAATTATATAATAGATTAACACAGTTGAACTCACATTAATCACAAACGATTTTTACGTCCATTTTTGGCTGGTCGACAATAGAACGCCGTAAATTCACATCGGGGTGAAACTGCCTTCAAAATAAGCCTTGCAGTATCTTCCTGCTTCACCTTAGCCTCTTCCAACTCCACCAAAACTGCTGCCAGAATCCTCTCATACCCACCACCGCCTCCAGCCACATACGCCACCAATGCCGCCTGCACCGGTCCTAAACTAGGATTGTATGCGGCAGACTCCAAGTACGACCCCTTATACACCTTCCCTTCAGAATCCATTAACGCCACCCCAGAAGGGCATCCACTATATGGAGCATGTGCATTATTAGCAGCTTCAAATGCTGCTTTTCTCAAAAGGATCCCATCCTTTTCGTTCTTTTCCCAATTACCATTGCTCAATTGTCCAGAAATCTCATTGCCCGAGGACAGTTCACACTCACCATTGCAAAGATTGCTCGAATTTTCGTCCACATATACAGCATTTTTTGGTAACAGAGAGAACCCATTATTGTGTGGCTCAAGAAGAAGCGGAATTTCTTTACCTAAAAGATCATGCGGGCCAAATGGATTCGGCAAAATTTCAGACAAGGGTTTGAAGGAAGGACCCTTGTCGAGATTTCCTCCAACATGGGATGTGACAAGGATTTCAAGGGACGAGCCATCACGGAGCTCCTGCAGGAACTGGCGGCAGTGACCACAGGGGGCATCAGAAACAGCAAGAGACAGTAGCCGAGGACACCCATGGACAGCAAGATTGGTTAGGAGAAACTGTTCTGCGTGTACAGAGTGGTGGAGTGGGACTCCAGGGAACTCCAGATTGACGCCGATGAATACACGGCCGTCGGAACCCAAACCCACCGCGCCGACAAAAAAATTTGAGATGGGCGGGCGGGCTAGCGACTGCGCCGATTGAACTAGGCTGGGAAGGAGGTGGAGCACCGACGGGAGGTTCAGGGATTGACGGATCGACTGGGCCTCTTCGACCTCCAATACAAATTTTTTTGGAAGAATTTGATCCATTTGGGAGGTTTGTTACGGCGAGAGGCGTTGCGTGTTTGATTTTCCTAAGCAAAATTGGGATGAATGGAGGAACAAAAAATGGATTCCTTGCAAAGAGGAGGTGGGAGAGAAGTTGATGAAATGTATACAAGAAATGGTATGGCCATATTTCCTTAGTAACCTTTAACCACTAAAAATAAAACGGTTAAAAAGTATAGNCAATGGCCGAAACAGGAACAGCAAGCCAAGCTGCCTCAACCGAGATGAATCCAAGACAAAATTCAGCACTACCAACTGAAGCTTCCATGTATCAATCATCACCTTTTGGGATGAACCTTACTCAAACTCCATCAATCAAGCTTGATAAAAATAACTTTCTACTTTGGCAGAACATGATTATGCCTATCATTAAAGGCCATAATCTTGAGAGTTATCTGCTGGGTACAAAACCGTGCCCACAGGAATTCATCAGCATTCAATCAAACCCAGATGAAGAGGAATCTGTTACAGTAGCTCAAAACCCTGAGTACAGCAAGTGGATGTCGACTGATCAACTCCTTATGGGCTGGTTATACTCGTCTATGACCCCAGAGATTGCAATGAGAGTCATGGGCTGTACTACTTCAAGCAAATTGTGGAATGCAGTTAAAGAAAGCTATGGAATCCTAAATAGGTCAAGGGTTATATTTCTGATTGGAGAGCTGCAGAGAATCAGGAAAGGCAATATGTCTATGGACCAGTATCTAACCACAGTCAAACAACTGGCAGACAACCTGCAGATTGCTGGAAAAGCTATAGATCACAATGATCTTGTTACTCAAGTCCTTGCAGGGCTTGATGATGAATATACACCCATTGTGGTGCAAATTAATGGCAGAGATAATGTTTCTTGGTATGAACTTTCATCAATCCTGATGACATTCGAAAGCAGGCTGGAACATCTTAATCAAGTGAGGAATAGCATGTCATCAGTTAATATCAGCCAATCCAGTGTGCAGTTGACTCAGAGGTCTGCATCAGGTGGTGGAAGAACCTTCAGAACTAGTAATGGTGGAAGAGTACCAAACTTTAGAGGAAGAGCTAGAGGCAGAGGAAGGTTTGGCAGAACAAATGATAGTCGAGGACCGTGCCAAATCTGTGGAATCAACAATAATTCAGCTAGTTGGTGCTTTAACAGATATGATGAAAGGTACATGGGAAATAAGCCAAACAATAACACACATCAGAACAACAGTCCAACAGCACCAACGTCTGCCTATCTTGCCTCTCCCAACATTGCTGATGATCCAACCTGGTTTATAGATTCTGGAGCAAGCAGCCATGTCACCACAGACAAAGGTAACCTAACTACAGCAGAAAAATATGGAGGTAAGGAAAAACTAGTAGTTGGTAATGGTAGCTCACTGCACATTGCTCATGTTGGAAACAAATATCTACCTACTATGAGTGATAAGCCATTAAACTTGAAAAAACTGCTTCATGTGCCTGCAATTAAAAAAAACCTTATTAGTGTTTCACAATTGACAAGTGATAATGGCGTTTTCATTGAGTTTTACTCTGATTCTTGTGTTGTTAAGGACCTGTAAACGAAGAGAGTTGTGCTACAAGGGATACTTAGAGATGGCCTGTATCAGCTCGAGGTGCCAAATCACAAGTCAGAGTCTGCATCACTTAATTTCAATCACCAAAATAATCCCAGCATCACCGGTTATTCAGTCTGCTTGAATTCCAATGAGTCAATCAAAAATGTTAAAGTGTCAAACACAGATTTGGAGGTCTGGCATAGGAGACTAGGCCATCCCTCAGATTCTGTTATGAGTCAAGTTCTGAAATCTTGTAATAAAGTTACAAAAATCAATGAAAAATTGAAATTTTGTGAAGCCTGCCAACTTGGCAAGTCACACACTTTGCCGTTCAAATTATCATCTTCTCATGCCATGAATTTTTTAGACCTTATCCACACAGATGTTTGGGGGCCAGCACCAGTTAGTTCCACATCAGGTTTTAGATATTACATCATCTTTGTAGATGACCACAGCAGATTTACCTGGATATATCCTATGAAGCAAAAATCTGAGTCACTAAACATATTTATCCAGTTCAAAAATTTAGTAGAAACCAAGTTTGAAAGGAAAATTAAGGTTGTGCAATCAGATGGAGGGGGTGAGTATAGGAAATTTGAGCAAGTAGCAGCACAGTCAGGCTTTGAACTTAGGATATCATGTCCCTACACCTCAGCTCAGAATGGAAGAGCTGAAAGAAAGCATAGACACATAGCTGAAACTGGTCTGTCACTCTTAGCTCAAGCAAAACTACCATTACAATACTGGTGGGAAGCCTTTAAAACATCAACCTACTTGATTAACAGACTACCCACTCTTACACTTCAATACAAGTCTCCCTTTCAAGTTCTTTACAAACGTGAGTTCGATTATAAAGTGCTAAAAATATTCGGATGTGCATGTTACCCCTGTTTGAGACCATATCAAAACCACAAGTTCAGTTTTCATTCTCAGAAGTGTGTATTTATTGGTTTTGGTGATGCACATAAAGGTTATAAATGCCTAAGTCCCACTGGTCGAATTTACACCTCAAGGCATGTAATCTTTGATGAGTCAGAGTTTCCCTTTAAAACAGGTTTCCTAAATAAACAGAGTCAGCCCCAACAATCTGAAAGTATCATGAGTAGCCTTCCCTTTGAGTTTCAGTTTAACTCTCCCTTCTCTTCCAAAGGCAGAGCTGATACATGCCATCCTAGCATCACCCCTGCAGCAGAATCTTTCAGCAGAGAATTACATCCTGAAGTCAGTGGTGAAGCAAATGAAAGTGAAGAGGATGATAGAACAGAGTTTAGACAGGAAGAATCAGCCAATCCTGAAATAGCTGAGCAAGAACAGAATTCAGAATCTGATATTGACACACAGATTGCTCCACAGCAGGATAGCCATCACATGATTACTAGGAGTAAGGCGGGAATCTTTAAACCAAAAATATACACCTGTCTAAGCCAACAGTCAGACAAAGTGGAACTTGAGCCAAATAGTGTCGATGAAGCTCTGTCAAATGCTGATTGGAAAAGTGCAATGCAGGAAGAATATAACGCACTGATGAAGAACAAAACTTGGAAATTAGTACCTCCAGAACCAGGCATAAAAGTGATTGGAAACAGATGGGTGTTTAAATTGAAACACAGACCAGATGGTAAGGTGGAAAGACACAAGGCAAGACTTGTTGCCAAAGGTTTTTTGCAAACGCCAGGAGTGGATTTTGGAGAAACATTCAGCCCAGTAATTAAAGCCTCAACTCTGAAAGTTATCTTAACTCTGGCAGTGTTCAAAGATTGGGAAATCAGACAAGTGGATGTAAATAATGCTTTCCTAAATGGGAAGTTGGAGGAGACGGTGTACATGGATCAACCACAGGGTTTTGTTGATAAAAAAAAATCCTAAATTCGTATGCAAGTTGGATAAGGCTCTCTATGGACTTAGACAAGCCCCACGAGCGTGGCATGAGAAACTGAAGAACACACTGCTGCAATGGAAGTTCAAGCAGTCAAGAGCAGATAATTCACTCTTCTTCTTAATGGGTGAAGGTAGTGTCGTGTTTGCATTGGTGTATGTAGATGATATCGTTGTGACAGGAAGTGATAGACACCAGCTACAAAGTTTCATTGATCAGCTGAACTCATGCTTTGCTCTCAAAGACATGGGCAAACTCAAACACTTCCTAGGGATTGAAGTATGCAGAAGTGAAACAGGGCTGTACCTAACACAGTCTAAATATGCTACTGACTTACTTAAGAGATTTGGATATGACAACCTGAAACCGTGCTCAACACCAATGGCAGTAGGTAAGTTGATATCTAAAGATGAAGGAATAATCATGAAGAATCCAACCCTCTACAGAAGTGCAGTGGGAGGACTCCAATATCTAGCACATACTCGACCAGATCTCACCTATACCGTGAATAAGATGAGTCAATTCCTTCAGAGCCCTACAGATGTTCACTGGAAGACACTCAAGAGAGTGTTCAGATATCTAAAAGGCACAATAAAACATGGTCTAGTGATTCAAAGAAGTGACAATCTGGGAATAACAGCCTTTGTTGATTCAGATTGGGCATCATGCCCAGACGACAGGAGATCCACAGCAGGTTATTGCGTGTATCTGGGAGGAAATCTGGTTTCATGGTGTTCCAAAAAACAACATGTTGTGGCCAGATCTAGTACAGAAGCAGAATACCGAGCTTTAGCTCATGGTGCTTCAGAGATTACATGGATACAATCATTAATGAAGGAACTGAGTATACCACAGAAGCTGGTTCCTAAAATCTGGTGTGATAATTTAGGAGCAAGTGCCTTAGCTTCTAATCCTGTGTATCATGCTAGGACAAAGCACATCGAGCTGGATGCTCATTTTGTTAGAGATAAAGTGCTAAGCAAGGAGCTGGAAATTGATTACGTACCATCATCAGATCAAGTTGCAGATGTGTTGACAAAACCGTTAAGTTCTTGCAAGTTTCAGTTTTTTAGAGACAAGCTAGGAGTGGTTGAAGCACACTCCAGCTTGAAGGGGGAAGTTAAAATTAATCAACCATTTATTCAACAATAAGAGATGCTACAATACCCACTCACGAGCTGATACAAAATCTGTTTCAGTGCATGGAGTATTCCTTATTTCTAGGAGTGGGAGAGTATTAGTTGTTATACACTTGGCAAGTTTGTATAGGGTGCAATAGAATATTTTCATTATGGTTTGTTATTCTTTTTTGTATAAATATGCTGTCAACATGTAATGTTATGAAGAAGCTTTTTATAATACGTAAATCATCTTCAGTTTACACAATATATTTGCTAAGTTTTTTTAACTCAACCCAATTCTTTCTCGTCAATCTCCAACTTAAGCACTATCCAGAAAAACACATTGGTAAATCAAATCACGAAGGAAAAAGGAAAATCCAATTCAAAGCTTTAATCATCTTAAGAATTAGATATCCAGGTTGCTCAAGGAAACAGAATTTA